TAAAACTGCGGTGGGAGTCAGGCTGCGGGCAACAGAGCCAGTCACTGAGCCGCTGCTGTGCGGTCACGGGCTAATCACTCACCAAACACGCTTAGGAGCGTGACTCTTAGATTGAAATATGTAGTCTATAGCTGTAGATATGTAATATTTATTTACAACAGCAAAATTACTAGTGCTTTTTCCAACATATGGCCTATTTGCTAAAATTTGTCAAAAATAACAGTAAATTAATAAATAACCTGTTAATTTAATTATAAACTAATCTTAGTTAAAAGAGTTTTAAGAACAGGGTGTTAATTTTCACATATGACGTACAGACCAGAAATTTTATCCGTTAAATTCGAAGTCCTTAAATCAAGGTCTGCGAAATCGAGGGCTTACTGTCATTTGAATCTGCAATTGGCTCCCAAGGCTGAGGAAGTCACTGATGAGATATTGTCCAGGTACCGCATGTGGCCACACATGAATACAAATATAATTTTATTTGGAAATATTAAAATAATTCTCTAAAAACAGAGCTCTGCAAATTTGGAAGGATTTTGGAGAAGAGTCTAGTAGCTAGAAAATTGCAAGCTCCGCCCTGGCCAGTGTGGCTCAGTTGGTTGGGCACTGTCCTGGGCACCAAGAGGTTGCTGTGTTCAATTCCCAGTCGGGGCATGTGCCAGGTGAGGGACATGCAGGAGGCAGCCGATCATGTGTCCTTCTCACATGGGTGTTTCTCCCTGTCTCTCTCCCCTCCTCTCTCTTCAAAAATCAATAAAAACTCTTTTAAAAAAATAAACTGAAAGCTCCTTAAAAGCAAGAGTCGACTTCATGGGCCTGGTTCACCCCAGTGCCAGGCACACTGTGCTGAGCAAATTAAAAAAAACGAGTGAAGGCATCACCTAGACCTGCTTACAGGCTGATTTGTTACAGGCTATCTGGATAGTTATGCTTTTAATTTGATATCCCACAAACATCTGTTTAAGAATGGCCGTTAAATGCAGAGTGGCCAGGACTCGTGCTCTAATTTGGATGGAAAGCTCTCTATAAATTAGAGATAATTGACTTTGCCACTTTAAAATCCGTTGAGCGTTGAGTGTTTCTTGGACTCATTCTCTTCTCGATGTGAAGCTGCGTAAATTAAGACCGTTTCACATGCAAATGTACTTTTTTCTATGTCATAATGCTGACGGCCCAGCCTTCCTCTTTCAGGGGGACACTATCCTGCGCTCCCTGTCCGTAAAGCCTAACAGAAAAGGAAATGCTGGTTTTGATTTGCTCCCCGGGCCCGTGGATGTGTAAGCAGCACGTGTTACCCTCAGCTCTGTGCGTGGGTTAGAAGAAATATTTTTTAGACATGAATGGTTTCCTGTTAAATAGGAGAGGATTGCCAACTCAAGTTTCTTGTTGACAGTTCTGCCAAAGCGAAATTTTCTATTTATCTAAAGCCCTCTCCCAAACCCATGCGTCCCGTGGAGGCCCTCTCCTCCTCGGAGTAGCATCAGCCCAGGCCCGGCACAGGGCCGCTTTCTCTTCCCTCAGACTCCAGCTGTTAAAAGAATCGGCCCATTGCTGCAGAAGGTTACGCTGTGCTATTACCTTACCCAGGCTGTTTTTCTAAAGGAACGTTTCTCTGGAGCTCTCGAATGTCTCACTCCTTGACTTCGAACTCAAGTGTCAATAACCCTGTTTTCGGCAGCGTTCGGGCCTAAGCCTGTGCGCAGTGTCAGGAAAGGGTGACTCGGGCGTGGAGGCCGCTCCGGCAAAACGGAATCTTAGTTTGATCAGCGTCTGTACCGCAGAAAATGTGGTTTTAATCTGAAACGGGGAACGCAGTGACATTGCCAAAGAACTTTGCACATTGTTGGTTCTTTTACTTGGGCTAGAAGGGTGCCCTGATTGAGGTCCCGACTTTCTGCCAGAAAACCGTGAGGATCACACTTTGTACTTAGCAACCTGATTTGGGGGTTTGGCAAATGGATCCGTAAACGAATAAAATTGGAAGTTTCCAAATGGGTCACCTGGAAATTATCTGCCTTTATGCAGCGTGTGTTAAATGCTCTGTGGGTCTTTCCATTTTAATGATACGTCTGCAGATAAGGAGACTCACAAATGGTTTCGGTGTATCTACCTGGAATGTGTCACAGGTTACGTAAGGGCTTGAGGAGTCCGACATTCGTTAGCTCATTCCTTTAATAAGTTCAGAGTCCTTAGGTTAACTGTGTGATGTCAACTACACATTTGTCCAGCTTGCCCGTGTGAATTCTAACATAATTATGATTCTGACACAGACACATTATACAGCACATAAAAGACTTCCTCCAGTTTTCATGGAGGAATGAAATGCCAGAAGTACTTCTTTATGGCATAATCCTTAATTCGTCACACCGGACTCGGATCCTTACTGAAATTTGAACATACTTTGACCAGGGTTTATTAGTGATGCAAAGGTGAAGGTTAACTACACTCATCATGAACAAACCAACAAAAACTCATTAAAATATGTTTGGACAGGTCTTAGTTGCGTTGAATTCAGACACAGATTTACGCTGGTGTCTTACAGACACACGTTTGCCGCCACTCTTTCCTACCAATACACATCTGTCGCCTTCCATTCAAAAATTTTTCCTTTCACATGATCCACTTTATTTTTTAATAAGTCAGTTTTTTAAAATGAAAACTTCTGCAACTTCCTAATCAGTAATATCTCATATGGATACATAAATGCCTCAGCAATAAGGAAATAGACTGACGATTATATATCTTAACATGCTTTCTGTTACTATGCCTTCAGGTCTGGCTTGGTCCTGGGGGACAGTATGGCTCGATCAGTGTTCGCACAGGATCCGTTTCCAGCGCACACCTCTCTTTCTGTCTCCTGGCCCTTACACACGAGTGCACAGCACAGTGTGTGTCTGCATTCTTGGGATTTACTTCGCATTTGGAAATGCTCTTATCTCGCAAGATAACGCACATAAATAAAGATGTGCTTCAACAATACTTCTGTGTCTGGGCCTGTTCTGAATTACCATTCTTGCTCTTTACCTTCGCATTCATTCATCCCCAAGGCTTTCGTGGTGCAGTATTGGCTGATGTGTTGGCAGTGATCCAGCTCACTGACCTCCTTCCCCTTCCTCTAACGTGGAGTGTTTTCGCGCCCCCTGCCTCCCCATGCCAGTGCCTCTGCCCGCCACAGTCACCTCTCGTGCCTCATGCAGCAGTCGGCTCAAATGTCACCTCCCCAGAAAGGCTGCCCTGATGAGTCACCTGAACTGGCATATGCACCCCCAAATCGCCACCTCCCCCTGCCCCGCTTCAGCTGGCTCGCCAGCACCTGCCTCCGCGAGCTGTTATGGTGCGTAATTATCACTGTCTTCCCTACTGAAATGTAAGTTCCATTGAGAAAGGTACTTTGTTTTCTTCACTGTTTTATCCCAGGATCCAAATGAGTGCCTGGCATGGAAAGTGTGCTAATTATTGTTTGTGATTAAATGGGTTTAGCCAAGATCTGGAAACAACCCAAGTGCCCATCAGTAAATAAGTGGATAAAAAAAGCTGTAGTACATTTACACCATGGAATAATATGTAGCTGTAAAAAAAAAAAAAGATCTCTTACCCTTTGGGACCGCATGGAGGGACCTAGAGAGGATTATGCAAAGCAAAATAAGCCAGTCAGAGAAAGACGAGTATCACATGATAGCACTTATCTGTAGAATCTAATGAACAAAATAAACTGAACAAAATAGATCCAGAGACATGGAAGCATGGAATAGACTGACAGATCTCGGGGGGTGGTGGGGAGAGATTAACCAAAGAACTTATATGCATATCTGCGTGATCTATGGACATAGCCAGGGGTGGGGAACCTCTAGACCGTGGGCCGTGTACAGCCCAAGAAATCATTTGGTCTGGCCCTGACAAGGTAACCGCAGGTGGGACTCAAAATTCAATAGAAGTAGGAGCTTTTTTCATAGCTAACTTTTAAGTTGATATTTTGTATGTTATAAATATCCAAATGGCCCTTGGCAGAAAAAAGATTCCCCACCCCTGAGACAGTAGGGTGGTGGTGGC